TTTTAAGTATCAGTGTAAATACTACATTTAATTTTAAATCCTGTTTTTGGCATATTAGAAAGCAATTAACTTTCATACTGTTTGCATTGAAATGTTTTACCTTTCCTTTTATGTAAACACTTCTTAGTTTCAGTAGGTTTTCATTGTTGACTTCTTGGGACTCCTTTACAAAGGAATGTTTTTTTAACTTGTTTTAATTTATTTTTTATGTGTATGAATGTTTTGCCTGTATGTAAGTGCACCCGTGTTGCACAATGGACCATGGAAGTCAGAAGAGGGTATCAGATCCCCTGGAACTGGAGTTACAGACAAGTTGTAAGCTGCCATGTGGGTGCTGGGAAGCAAATCTGGGTCCTCTCTTCTGAAATTTTTCATTTTCCTTTTGCAAATGATCTCCACCAGTACAAGTGTTTTTAGCTTAATAATATGATCTCTAGTTGTGAGACAGAATATGGCCTGTCCAAGCCCTGACTTCTACATTTGTTAACGTTCAAGAGGGGTACATAGGTATTTTGTGCTTTGCATTTCTTCTCCATAATCGCAGCAACTGGAAAACTTGTGGCAGACAGCTCCATACTCAAAGATTAATTGCTACTCATCTCATTATAAACTTCACTGACCAGCTCAGCCTTCAAGAGCTATCATCAGAAACCATGAGAGAAAAGGGGTAAATCCTGATGTTGTATTCCTCAAGTATTTCCTGACTGCATTGCTGTTTCTTTCTGAACTCAACTACTCTTACAGCACCAGACTTTACTGACTCTTACTTCACTACAAAGTAGCCAGAAACATGATGATATTTTCTAACTGGTTTATCATTTAGTTTAGTTACCCATGTTTTCCAACAAAAAATAATTTTTTAATGTATCTATACTAGAGATGCCAGTATATCAGAGACCATTAAAAAACAGTTTCTAAAGTTTCTGGATTAAAATCAGAGCCTCTTGACATGATAGTACTTATGCTTAGAGTTTGCTTAACCTCCCTAAGCCTCAGATTCTTCATTCATTAAAGATACTGAAGGAATTCAGTGGTGTGGTACATATAGTCATCTTGCAGTATGTGTCAAGTTTCAGTAACTCATAAATATCTAAATATATGAATGTTCAAGTTCCTATGTAAAATAGCGTGGTGTTCGCATAAAGCTATGTACATCCTCCTCATATTTTTTTGTTTGTTTGAGTTTTGTGACAGAGCCTGGCTATGTAGCCCAGGCTGACCTGAAACTCACTATAATCCTGCCTCGGCCTTCCAAAAACTAGGATTACAAGCATGTGCCACCATGGCTAGCTCTCCCCATATTCTTTTAAGTCAGCTTTAGATTATTTACAATGCTTAGTACCATATAAATGATATGTAAATAGTTATGATGGTTTAGGAAATAATTACAATGCAAAAATTGTACTTACACAGGCACAATTAGTTACGTTTTCAATGTGCACTTGCTTGAGTCCATATGTACATCGTACATTGTGACTGTATAAAGTGCTTAGTGCTGAATTTGTCATATTCTACCCATTTAACAAGTGACATCTGCTTTTATCATTATCATGTACTTGAATTCCTCCATTTGACAAGTCATTTATGTCACACATAACCTCACATTTGACCAAAGTACTAGGTTTGGCGTGCTCATTTATTAGCAATTTCCAAAACCACCTTATCAGTCTGGTCAGAGATGCCATTTAAAAGAGCACAAATGTGTTGCTGGAGATAAAAATTGCATAATAAGCTTGGATAGAGTAATCGGTAAGCATATTATAATGTATACTAAGAATCTTTTATAAAAGTACCCTCTAGTCCATAATCCTTTTTCTGGAGATGTCCTTCTTTTTAAAAGGTCTTTTCATTGCTTTATAAAAAGATTTGTTTTTTTATGTACATTTGTATATGTGCCTGAGTGTATGTATGTGTACCATATGGCACCACATGTGTGCAGGTGCTCATGGAGGCCAGAAAATGACATCAGATCCCCTGGAACTGGAGTTACAGGAGACTGTAGACTGCTCAGTGTGGGTGTTATAAACTGAACTCAGGTCCTCTGCAAGAGCAGCAAGTGCTTTTAACCACTGAGCTATTTCTCCAAGCCCTGGAGATGTCCTCTTAGCAACATACTCTGCTCCAAAGGCCAAAAATGTCAAAAGTATTTGGGAGCTCTTATCTAATCCCTAAAAGATTTTAGGGTTACCTCTTCAGAGGGGGGGAATGTTAGAGTAGCAAAAAGCCCCATAAAAGAAGAAAAAGAAGGAGTACATGAAGTTATCAGGAAAAAGTGATGGGGAGATACGGGAGGAGTTGGAGGGGAGGGAATAGGTGCTTTTGATCAAAACACCTTATATGCATGTTTGAAATTCTCAATAAATTTTTTTTTAAGTAAAATAAAAAGGATTGTCTGGCGTGGTGGTGCATGCCTTTAATCCCAGCACTCAGGAGGCAGAGGCAGGCAGATCTCTGTGAGTTCAAGGCCAGCCTGGTCTACAGAGTGAGTTCCAGGCCAGCTGGGGCTACAAGGAGACGCTGTCTCAAAAAGACACACACCCCCCCAAAAAAAAGAATGAAAGAGACCAAGATTTTTAGTCACTAGCATTTGATAATAGTGAATTAGGTTGGGATAGAGATAAACCCAGATGTCTAACAGCTTAGTATGGTTAAGTAAAATGTATTTTAATATGATTCATATTCTGCAGCTTTTAAGAAATACAATGAGGAGGGGAGGGAGTAGGCATGGATTTGATCAAAATGCCTCATAAGCATGTATGAAATTCTCAA